GACACTCCGTATGATTCCGGCCTGAGTGCCGCACTCAAGCAGTAGGCCGTCCTCATCAGATCCGAACTCCCTCCCCTCGAATCCGAACCAGGCGCATGCGTTGCTGCGTTATATCCAGGACCGCGATGCGTCCCAAATTCCATGTAACGGGAGGGATGCTTCTGAGAGGAAATACCGGTTTCGAATCAAGACGGCTGAACGGGTGGGTGCTTCGCTGATGCGTCGGGTGTTGTGTGTTCCTTGTGGTAACCTCGTTTCTGACTCGGCCCGTTTAGTCACTTCTTCTACCGCCACGCCGTGCCCGCCTCCCCGAAGGCATAGAGTCCCCGCCTCCCACAGCTGTACTCCATTCACCATACTCCCCTCTAAGCCCCGTCTCCCCGCTCTACCCCGATGGCCTCATCGACACGCAATGGATCCGCAAACATCAGGATCTCGTCCCTGGAGTCCTCCTCTGCTTCTACACCCTCACATCCGACCAGAGCCTTGCAACATTGTGTGACAACCAAATAAAGACGGATGTGAACAATATCAGAGCTCTCTTGAGCCAGTCCGGCTATAAGACGCGGTTGGCAGTTGTGCTCTTGAGCGACCATGTCTCTTCTTCGCCTTCAATTGATGGCCTGCAGGACAGGTTAGAGATTATTCGCAGGGGCTGTGGTTTGGATTCAAAGGCACTATTCCTCGTACCCGGGAACGATTCCCAAGACGAGCTTGAACGCGTCGCAGAAAACATGCTCACGACGCTCTATGTGGTGTCCGTGGAGTACTATAGGGACCTCGGGAGGCACTCTCGAAAGAAGAGGGGGAGAGGCATTGTGCCTCAGCCGACAATCCCCCCAACCTCCGGTACTTCGCAAACGCTTTCCTTAGCTGGCTGGAATGTTCGTTATGATTTCAAGTCAGCTGTTTTTGCTGAATACCGCCTGGAAATGGATGTCGCCTTGCGCTCTTATGAGCAAGCCTACGAAAACCTCCTAAGCTCTGAGTTAATGGAGCTCATCCCGAGCTGGAGTCCGCGATGGAACGAGGCCAGATTCCTAGCAGATGTTATTGCCGTGCGGTGTCTACGATGCTTACTATGGAACGGCCAACACAGTGCAGCCGCCCGGAGGTGGCTCGCTCACCGCGAAAGGATAGCCGACTTTGTTGATCGCCGGGGAAGGGGCACCAAGAATTACGGTTGGGAAGCTTGGGAGGCACGATGGGCTATTGTCATGGCTGATCTCATCGACAAGATCGATATACCTGAGCTTTATCCTGCCACGCTCAGACTCTACCTCCCGCCAGAGAAAAGTGTAATGGGGGAGCGGCTTCAACCATGGGAATTGCTTCATCACCCTGGGTACTGGTACCGCCTTGCCGCAAGACATTTGCAAGCGCGGAAGGCCTTTGCGCACGCGATCCCAGAAGATGACAGGAGATCGCCTAGCGACTCACCAGCTTCTCACGTCGCCAAATCCGCATTCGCATATGACACGTACATGTGCCCTGACCCTTACGAAGAGTACCCGCTGGGCCGTCCAGGGGTAGACCATGGCAAGATGATCACTGATTGCCTCATGCGAGCTCGCGCAGAATTTCTAAAGCGACATCAGACACGATACGCCGCAGAAGTGTCGTTGGAATGCGCGAGAGATTTCGCTATGGCAGATGACTGGCAGAGCATTATAGAGCTCCTGCGCCCTATGTGGAAAGAGTTATCGTTAAGGTCTGAGGGGTGGATTGCCATAGCTGAGGAAATGAACTGGGCCCTCAGGACCGCCGCCATGGAAGTTGATGACGCCGAGATGGTGCTCCTCGCCGATTGGGAGCTACTCTCACGAGGTATGTTCTCCACACGAGTTGTCCCTTGATACAGGATCCGAACCCTGTTGACTTATGTAGACTTCTCGAAACGTCCCAACTGGCATTATGATATCACGCGGTCGCTGGAAGACGTCACACTCAGTTCCAAGCCTAGTGTTTCGATTAGAGACGGGCAGCTCGTATCGTTCATATCTGCCTCATTCGTCTTTCAAAACGAGGAGGGGAAAGCCGGACAAAGCGTTCGCGGCCAGCTGTCGATCAAATCAAATGCACACGTGGGATCGGCACCCGTCGTTCTCAGCACTGTCTACCTTAGTTTCGACGGCAGTCTTGATGGCATCATTCTACGGCACCATGAAACAGCGACACAAAGTCAGGGGAAAGCGGTCATAACCACAGTACCCCTAACCAAGCAGACGGATAACGATGATCCTCAGCCAACCGTGCCAGCCGAGGTTGGTAGCGGCGTCACACTCGTCGGATCTGCCAACTTGACATTGCGGCCGGGTCAAACTCTTGTTTTAAACTTGGAGATACCATTGCGGGAGCCTGGCGAGACACGTGTGGACTCGCTCACTGTTAATGTTGCGTCTGAGACGTTTGACTTGCGGCAGTCGCTCACCCTCGAGGAGAGGGGAAATAGGAATCTCTGGTACCTCTCTCCCTCCGCTACCAAATACATCGCACATCCCCAACCCCTCGTTATTCGAGTCCTACCAAGGCCCCCCAAGATGGAAGTCAGGTGCCCGGTGTGGAAGGAGCAGTACTACACAGACGAGCCAATCGACCTCGAGTTTGAAGTTGAGAATGGCGAGGAGGTCGAGGCGCTGGCCAAATTAGACGTGGTCCTATTTGGCGAGAAGCCACCAGTATTCACGGCGCTTATCCCGGGGCACGAGGAGCAGGCCTCTTCAACCATTCGCAGCGAAGAGACTAGGCTTTCAGGGGCGCCAATGGGCACCATCGGGAGCCTCAAATCTCTCATTGTTCGCACCCGGTTGCCACCAATCGAACGCTCAAGCCGATACGACCTGACGCTCAAGGTTACCTACTTTCTTCCGACCAACCCTGGCACGCCCATATCACAAACCGCTGTTTTTCAGCTCAACGTGGTAAACCCCTTCGAAGCAAACTATGACCTCCTTCCACGAGTCCATCCGGACCCCTGGCCAAGTCTCTTCGATCCCGACACCATTTCCCTTCCCATCACCAATGACAGCGACGACACCACTCCCCAACCCCCCACAGGCATCTCCCAAGCCTGGTCCCTCGTCACCCGTTATGCCTCATTCGCCTCGGAGCCCCTCCTAGTAACAGACGTCGACATCGCCATTCAACCATCCACCACCTCCCGCTGCACGACCACCATCAAGCACACCAACCTCCCCACCTCAGGCACCGGTCGCCTCATCCACCCCAAAACCATCGAAGAAGCCACCTTCAACCTCTCCGCCCAAAAGCTCACCATCGACGACCGCAGTCACGCCCCGCTCGACATTTCCCTCATCATCAAATGGACCCGCCCCAGCCCCAGCACCTCCACCAATCCAACAACCACCCCAGCCCCCACCCCGAACACCACCGCCCTCCCCATCCCCCGCTTCACCCTCTTCGGCACCGAGCCGCGCGTGCTCGCCTCCGTGGCCCACCGCCGCGGCGGCCGCGGCACCACGCCCCTCATCACACTGACCATCACCATCGAGAACGCCTCCAATCACTTCCTGACTTTCGGCCTGGCCATGGAGCCCAGCGAGACCTTTGCCTTTTCCGGCCCCAAGCTCACCACCGCCAGCTTGCTGCCTGTTTCGCGGCGCGCCGTGGAGTATCGCCTGCTGCCGTTTGAGGTTGGTCCCGTGGGTGATGGGGCTGGGGGTGGTGGTGGTGGTGGTCGTGACGGTGCGGAGCAGGGGGCTGCTGCTGCTGCTGGGTGGTGGATTAGGCCTGGCTTGGTGGTGCGTGATAAGTACTTCCAGAAGGTGCTGCGTGTGATTCCGGCTGGGGAGGGGGTGAGGGGCGGGAAGGATGGGTTTGAAGTGTGGGTGCCGAGGTTGGTTGCGGGAGAAGGGACGGTTGGGTAGGTTTGTTTGTTTGTCTGTTTGTTTGTTTGTTTACTTTTGGGGTGGTGGTGGTGGCGGTGTTGGGATGGGATGGCTAAACTGTCTGGTTGGGGGGTGTAGAGGGGGAGAGAGGTGATTACGGATGGGATGTTGTATGCGGAGTTTTGATATCTAGTTTGAGAACCATCTACTACTGTGGAGGCAGGCGCATGTCCCAACACGTTTCCAGCAAATTGTCACCGAAGCTCACCACAGTGGTAGGGTTGCATAGGTAACAACCAGCTCAAACGTAACTCTCCTCCATTTCTATGTAATACTCGAATCGATTTGTCTATATTCCGGTTGACAATGAACGACTGAAGCACAAAATGAATGGCTTTTTTTGTCTCGCTGCTGTAGCATCCAACGCAAACAGAGGAAGAGAGAGACACAGAGAGAGAGGAGAGAAACAACTGCCGGATCGCCACAACACCCACTGAGCCCCTCTATCTTGGGCCGCCCACCAAACCAGTTGAGCAGCCAGCCCTCTCTTAGTTCTCCACCACCTTCACCGGCTCCACTTCTCCGTGCTCCTCATCCTTCTTGACCTCCTCCTTGATCAGCGCCTCGCCCGCCAGGTTAGTCGCAAGAGACTTGATCTCTTGCTTCTCCGGCTCCGGCTCGGGCACTGGTTCGGGACTGACGGCGGCCTCGGTCTTGACCTCGGGCTCTGCGTCGAGTTCCGGGTCAGACTTCGCCGTCTCGGGCTCAGGCTTTTCCTCGGCTTCGGAGTCAGGTGTGGTTTTTGGCTCTGAAACCTCCTCCTTTTCTGACTCGACCGTGACCTGCTCCTCTTCCTTTCCTCCAGAAACGTGAGAAATGGCCGGGATGGCAGCAGCCGCGACCACGTCGGTCACCTCGTTGTCAGGGGTTTCTTCCACTTGAGGTTTTTCCGTCTTAATTTCCTCTGTCTTGGCTTCTTCCGTCTTAAGCTCCTCCGTCTTAGGTTTCTCTACCTTAGCCTCGTCCGCCACAACCACAGCCTCGGGCTCAGGCTTGGACTCCGACACCGGCTGAGCCTTATCCACCACCACACCCGCACTCAACACGCCCTCGTCGGGATCGATCTCAAAGAAAGTCACGGCCAATACAAACCCAGACACAGCAGCCTGCGCCTTCTCCTCCGTCTTCACATCAGGAGAGGCCACCACCGCCTTGGCAGCAGGCGCCCTCCGCTGGGGTCCCCTCGCGCGCCCCTTACGCGCATCGCTCAGAGGCACCTTTTCCTTGGGAGCCGCCGCCGCCTGCCCCTCCTCCTCCGGGGACGCTTCCTGCTGCTGCTTGGAAGGTGGCGCCTGCGGACCCAGCTTCAGACGCTTGTTCAGGTCGTTCATGAACCCGGCCTGCAGGGCGGAAATCTTGGAGCCCATCGGGCGGGCGGGCACGGTGGGTTTGGAGCGGGGTGGAGCAGCAGGAGGTTCGGCGGGCCCGGGGCCGGCCGGTGTTGGGCTTGCTTTGACGGGACGGGCAGGGATTTGTGGTTTCGGGCGTCCCGGCACCGCCGGCTTGTCGTCGGCTGAAAGCTGTCTGGGTTTGGGCCTGTTCGGGATGGCGGGCTTTTCGGCAGGTGAAGGTGCGTCTGGAGATTTGAGCTTGGGTTCGGGTCGCTCGGGGACCGTGGGTTTGTGGGTGTCAACTGGTGAAGGGGATGGAGCCTCATCTTGTTGCGGCGTCGAGACCGTGGTCTCTAGGCGTAGGCTTTCTGGCGCGTCTTCCCAAACGTCGCGGCTAGGGAAGCGCTGCTGCATGGGTGGCCGGGCAGCTGGTTTCTCGGGGGTAAGGTGCTTCTGGTTCTGTGGCCACAAAGGTTTGTGCGCGGCGCGCTGCCCAAGAGATTCCTTCTCGGCAAGCTCCTCCTGGTAACGAGCAAAAGCCTGAACTGGGGTCTCACCCTCCCTGGGGGGCGGTACGGTATTTCGGGTTGGTTTCTCTTGTTGGTCCAAAAACTCAGGGGTAGAAACCTCGGCTGTTTGGAGAACACTACTGGGCGCATCTTCCCAAATATCGGCACTAGGGAAACGATGAGGATGTGTTGTTGTCTTGTTCGTCTCTTTTGTTGCGGGCTTCTTCGCCTCATTTTTCTCGTCGTCTTCAAATAGGGGCTCGTACTCTTGCACGTCCTCTAGGGGCGTGTGCTGGAGTTCAAACGAGGTCTCCTTGTACAAGCTAGCGGGTCGACTCGTCGGACGGGGAGAAGGCCCATCCAAGTCGGAGGCGGGAGACTCCACCGGGGCGTGCATACCGGGTGGCAACGGATTCTTTGCGACGTCGTCATTAGCTAATATGGGAGCAGTATACGGGCGCTCCGCATCGTCAGCGGTTAACGACTCCGAGTCACTAGCCATAACAGACCGCCTCCGAGGCTCGTCAATGTAGATGGATGTCGACTTAGGCTCCGGTGACGCTATCCTAGATGCTGACTCTTCGAGCGCCTGCCAGCCGACCTGTTCGCTGGGCGTACCGGCATAGTTCTTGTTGGTACCTGAAGAGTGCCGTGTTAGACTCCAAGATAAAGAATCTTGCGCCGGATCATGAGCGAGACTTACCAACACCAGAACCGCGGCTCGCGGTCTCCTTGACGATCTTGTCGAGGTCTTCGCGGCTCATGGAATAATCATTGGGACGGTCGTAATGGTGCGGCATATGTTCCTTCTTCAAAAGGTCTGGGTGCTTTTCGTAGTATGCCTTTTCAAGCTTGTCCTGCGGTGCCACACCGTGGCCATGCAACCCGTAGCTCCCAGGGGGCAGGTTTCCATGGGCAGATGTCTTGCGGACATGCCTGTTCTTGGGACCTTCGGACGAGGAGGGCGCCGGCGATGGGGCCTGGACGTCACCGGCGTTTCTGTACATGGGCACCTGCTGACCAATCTCGGGGATTCCCTGCTCATCGTCGATATCTCTCTCGGTCCCAGACAGCTGACTGGCGGTACTGGCTTTCTTCTTGAGACTACGATTCGAAGGCAAGGCGGGGGTAGAGTCCTCGACGCTGCTCGCCCGTCCGATGCCAAACGAGGCGGCCCGCTCGCTGTCGGTGCGGGTAACGGCCAGAACCCGCTGCTTTGCGCTCGCCGCAGGCAGAGACGGCTTCGGAGCATGGAGTTTGAGGTCTTTAGCCACAGTCCGTGTCTGCTCGGGATCGGCGCTCGCATCCTCGGTTGAGGCCGGGTCATCGCCTAAAGCAGCGTATTCCTTGCCCTCCTCGCCGACAGACGGCAGCTCCACCGAGTTGGGGCGGTGGACGGGTTCTTCGCCGTGGTCGCTCTGAAAACCGAGATTCGACGGCTTGGGGGACTTGCTTAGGAAGCTGGGCTCGTTTAACGGCGACGGTGCGAAGCGGTCGGGGTTCGGGCTGACGGAGCGCAAGCGCCGGTTCGTGGGGCGGGGGGGGATCATTGGGGCCAACGTCTGTTCTTGAGCCTTGGACGGTCTTGGGGGTATGGCTGGGGGTTTTGTTGTTGTAGAGGACATGGTGGGCAATATGTTGGAAGTTGGCCGATTAGGATATAGAGATAAGCGGGACGAGTACGAGTACGGCTGCCGTGGCTAGAGGTAGCTAACTGGCGATAAGGTACGAAGTAGGTAAGGTAGGTGGAAGGTGGGGAGGGAGGCGCAGGATGCAGGTGCGAGGGAGGCAATATCTAAATTGATGGATTTCAACTTTGGTTAGCTGCCGCACACCAGGAAACGAAAAGATACGAATAAGGCTTGGGTGGGCGGTAAAGAAAGATAAGGCCTCTTTTGAAGCTCCGTGCCCCTTGGGCGGTGACCCCAAGGTCAGTTCCGGCGTGTTTTATCAAGGCGCAGCTGATAACGGCAAAACAGCAGAGACTAGGGCGGCCGGCAAGGTGCGCCAGATATGGGCCCGGTACCACGCACCACCACGACAGAGGGAGAACCACCAATATGCGCGATAACCATTTCTTTCCCGTCACCGCTGACTTGCCATGCTTCTTGGATCCGTAAAAATCTTGATTGTAGGGAGAAAAGACGGTGATAAATAACCAGACTGTGGAGGCACTTACCAGCAGGTGGAGGGGGTTGCAGCGTGGTTCAGGTACCTTACTTTTATGTAGGGATGGATGTACCAGCACTTGTTAATGCGGGCAGTCTGAATTCAGCCTGGGAGAAGCAGAGAAATCCAAACAACAATAAAAGCAAAAACAACAAAATGCAATTGAGTGTTCAGATTTCCAAACCATGGATTGTCGGTAGTCTGCTATGGCCCTGGAGCTGATGATGAAACTGGGTTGCGATCAAGGACAAGGCCCGAGCTCATCGCTTATTATAACCACCCAATACCCGATTAACTATTCGTCATCGGGCTAAGAGACGAATGTGAGCCTTTTATCTACATACTGTGCTCTGATGGGCCCTGACGAACATCATCCGGTCGTTACTCCAATACCTCATTGTCGTCCCGTTTTAGCAGGGGTTCTCTGACATCTCGGGTCCAGAACACTGGCAGCTGATCCAGTTGCAGGCTGCACGGAGCAGGGAAAGGCGGGGAGCACTGTGCGGGTTGATGGTGTTTGAGCTGAGCTTGGATGTACACAGTATGAGGTACCTCACATGGAGCTTCGAGTTCGGTATGCTACCTTGCAAGAACTTCCAACCTTCAACCCTAGCAGGTATGAGATACATGATGAATAGAATATGCGGTTTCGTCCGGTCCCCCAACATAGAACAGAGCAAAACGGGCGAGCCCCCCCCCGACGATGGGGAGAGGAGAAGAGGGCAAGCACCACGACCAAGAACACACCGTGCGTTGTTTTTACCCCACCATCTCCACCGCCAACTTTGGCTTCGAGCGCCAAGGTGTCATTCTTGATCTTGGCCCGGACTTGGACAACTGGCAGCAAGAATTGCTCCGCTAGTTGCGAGACTGAGATGTCATGACGATGTTGTTGACTTCAGAACTCAAACCAATCGATTGGGTTATTCGAGACTCGTCACCACAGTGAGCTTTGGTATTCTGCATAACAATGGTGGGGCATCCGAGACGGCGGGGTCTGATCAGCTTCGCAGGGGGGGTAAGCTCAGGTAGGAGTGCGTACTAGAGAATCAAGAAAAGAGGGAAAGAAGGAAAAGAGAAAGAAGAAAGAAAACCGAGAAAAGAGAGAAAAAAGTAAAGTGAATCATGGAGAATATAACTGAGATAAGAAGAGGTAAAGAAAAGCAAGTAAAATGGATTAAGTAAATGAAAGCGAGTAATAAAGAGTGAACTATGGACCTCCGAATGGATTTCTTTCTCGTTCCTTTAGGTAGTCGAAGGCTTCGGCGGCACCTACGCTTGGGGAGTTCGGCTTTTTTTGTCCAAAAGAATGGTACCAAACTGGCAACGCAAAAACCAACAGGCATCTCGACGAGAGAAGAGCTCCTTATATCATTAAAGGAAGCCATAGACGCCATAGAACCAACCCCCTTCCTTTTTAACAAATACAAAACATGGATAGCCAGACACACAAATCATGCTATCGTCTTGTTGTCTCTCGTTGTCCCTACGCAGCTTGCGCGCAGCTCATCACTTCCTCGCCCCCTCATCCCCCGTAGCCCCATGGGAAGTAGGCGAGGACAGGCACCCGGCCCTCCATAATCTCTGCCTCCTCGCTTTCTCCCCGCAGCTTCCCCCTCGCCACCATTTCACCTCCCTCCCTCCCTCTCCCACCCTTCCCCCCCACAAAACCGGTAGGAATCAAGCCCAAGGCAGCCTTGCCCGCCCGCTCATACAATCATCTGCGCGACGCCGGCGCCGCCCAGGGTCTTGCTGCCGACAAAGGCCTGGCCCTTGATGCCCGGCGAGCAGGTAGCAGATGCAGGTGAAGGAGAGGAAGACGGCGGCGGCGAGGAGCGAGGTGGCGGCGGAGAGGAGGGTCAGCCACTGCACGACGGCCATGACGGCATAGGCGGCGGCGCGCATGTAGTTGGTGGTGATCTTGCGGATGGCGTCGTCGAACTTGGACGACGTCGGGCAGATGCGCAGCAGCAGGGGCACTTCGATGAAGAGGATCACGAAGGAGGATGCCCTGGTTTGTTGAAGGGGGTGGTTAGGGCCAGCTGGTCCCTCTTGTGCGGGGTGGAGGGGCGGAGGGGTAGAGGGGTAGAACGTACAGGCATACCGCGCTGAGGATGATGATCAGCACGCGGAAAGTGAAAAGGTTCGCGATGCCGAGAGCGAAGCAGAGGATCATGCTTAGGATACCGAGCCTGTGTGTACGGCATGGTTAGCGACTAATATCCATGGCGAGGCTCTGCTGATAGCCTATGCTGGCGGTGCAGGGATGGTGTCGCGCAGTCCGTCGTGGCTGTTTGTTTCACGTCCCGCGGTAACGAGGAGGAGGCTCTCACCATTGCCCGTAAATACCTGCAACGAACCGAGTCAGCAACCTATTCCACAGCAGAAGTTCCTAGCCCGGCGTGCTCTCGAGCTCCAGGGAACTGCAAAGGAATATGGTGGGGACTCACTGAAGTTGCGCGTCGCGAACTCCTCCTTCAACGTCATCTTGCCGGTGCTCTAGGGAGGATGGCCTCCAACCAAACAAATCCGGGGCTTTCGGTGTATTTCAGATACCGTAGCGATCACTAGCCTAGGATCGACGGTCGAGTCTCCCGAAGCGATTCCGGTCGCGCGAGTGCTGTGACTGCCTCGTGGTGTTGATGTTGATATGGCTGTTTGATGCGATGCGATGCGATGCGATGCGCTACGATGCACGAGTGCCTGGCGTGGATGCCGCAAGAACACAGTCAATGAAATCGATCGATCGGGATCTGAATAACGGTGGGCTCCGGGCTTTGTCTCGCAGGGGTCCTGTCAAAGGAAGATGGATGTGAGGGATCGGTAAAAGCAGCAGCAACACAGTCGCTTGCTGGTTTTGATTGTTGGCCCAAAATATTCGCCCGGTTCGTCGTCGTTAAGGTAACGTAAGCTCCTGCGCAGGCTGGCAACGGAAACACAACTACACAGGAACATGTTGTCATTTTGGCGGCCGAGCAGGCCGGATGGGTGGGGATTTGGCCAAGTGGGGCTGTGTTCAAAGGGAGCTGGCGATTGGTCCCTCGCTGCTTCCCCAACCCACAATCCAACGGTCTTGCGCGTTGCGGTCGGAAGTCGGAACTTGGGAAGGAAGGGACACGCCATCGTGAAGCTGCTCAGCCCCTGCCTGCGCTTGACTTGGGTAACTTTTTCTTTCCTTTTTCTTGGGGACAACTGGAGTGGATGATGAATCTCAATTGTGGAGTCTTCAGCAGTCAGCAGCCTTCCTTAGGTAGGTAGTTATCGATGGGTTCAGTTGCTCACTTTCAACCTTTCGGCAATATTTATTTCCTGAACACGAGGACACTGAAGACGAACAAAACAGCTTCCAGATCATACATGACACCTACTCGGTACAACCAACGATCAACTGAGGATTCGGCCTCTTGCCCCCTTGCCCCTGCACCCACAAAACGTCGGAAAAGCAGACGATTCCAGCTTAGCCTTCCACACGGCTTCATTCACCGTACAATGCTTCCTGTCGTCTTCAAATAGCCACCACCCGTCCAGCCGGCCGAAAACCAGATCTAGACAGTAGAGCCGGGTAGTGAACTTTACCAATGCAAAGAACCCACCTGCACGCAGGAGGCGCCGCGAGTTGGAGCAGGACACGGCGAGGTTGTTCTGGAGGTGCTGCGGTGGCGCCTTCTCGATGTCGAGGACCATATACTCGATGCAGCCCGCGGGGAGGTCCTTGTAGCGCGTCTTGGCCGCGCCGAAGAAAGACGCCGAGATGTCGGTGAAGACGTACTTGAACGGGATGCCGGCCTCCACCAGCATATCGAGCACGAACTGGGTGGTACCCCCCAGCCCGGCGCCCACCTCGAGGATCTCTACGCTGCGGTTCTGCTCGCGGGCTATCTGGGAGAAGACGCCCCGGGGGAGGGTTACGAGGAGCTTGGAGGCGGCCACCGACATGGGCGCGTTGGTGTAGAAGTCTTGCAGCAGCGCCTTGCTCTTGCCGAACAGCAGTCTGATGGGGTCCGCCGCGCCCGTGAGGCATTCCGCAAACTGCGAGCCCGTGACGTGAAGGAGGCGGTGCGTGTTGGCGTGCAGGGGGTAGTCCCGGATGAGTTGCTGATAAATGGACTCGGCTGGCGTTGTGTCGATAGGCGTAGCCGTGCGCACATAGCGATCACCGCCCTGGTGGTCCGCGACCCCCCCATCCTTGAGAATATCAAAGATGGCCCCGCGAAGGACCCGATGGTGTTTGGTCTGGACCGCGTGTGGATACGGTAGCGGCGTACCAGGCGACATAGCGCTCAGCGGGTATCCCAGTCGTGCAAACGATTCATTGATAAAGGCAAGAACAAGCCTCTTCTGGGTATGGTAGACATGGGTCCAGAAATTGCTGGTCCCGGCTTCGTCTCCAAACCGTTCAAGGAGCTTATGGATACCCACGAACTCGCTTTGCACCCTCCCTAAAACACCAAGTGCTACAGCAGATAATACTCTCGGCGTCTATGAAATTTCCGGACTTATCAAATTCTGGAGAAAGGGGGACGAACCGTCAGCCGTCGCTCCAGACCGCCTTGCCACTTCAGCGACATGTCACGGATTAGGACCCGTACGGTCTTGGCTTGCAGGACGCAGGACGTCCCGTCCAATGTTCACGGAAACATTGGACCAATCATAACGCCAGAAGGGGGTGCTCCCGGCGCTCCTCCATCCACCCGGGAGCACGGGGAGCATCTACGCTCCCAACGCTCCCAATGCTCCCCGGGAGCATAGGGAGCACTGGGATCAACGGCTCAGATAGCATTATATAGCCACTCGTTCTGGAGAGCTCTGGGAAGTTCTCCAGTTAGCAATCACAACTACAGTTCGCTACAAGCTCGAAAGCCTACTGTTGAGACAAGTCTTTGTTGTGCACCCTTGGGCTGCACCGAACCTAAGCACCCTTGAAAGATTACCTTCGACCGAAGCCGAACCCTAACAGGACCGGGTCCAGAAGTAGGTTCGTCACACGACACCGGAGCAGTCTCGAAAGAGAGAAGCGGGGAGTTCGATTCCGGTGTGCGTGCTCTTCTACTATCTCGAGCACATTCATAATCGCTAGAGGGTCCAGCGAAAGGTCCCCGAAGGGCACTTCGATGTCAGTAACATCATATTTGCGTCCGGTTTCGCTTGAGATAGCGCTGCATAGGACTTTGATATTCTCCGCCGAGAGTAATTACTAATGTCGTTGAATGGATCATTGTGATGGATGGGGTTAGGTAAGTCTACTGAAAGGGATGTAACGTGCCAACTTCTCAGGTTTCTCTTGAGGTGTCAAGTAAGGTGTTGGGTCGACGCCAGGTCAAGGTGGCTGATGGTGACGGCCATTTCATGTGCCCCTCATGATTAGGTACACATGATGATATTAATTATTGGCGCTGATCGTTGGAACTAGTAGATGCGCGGTTGGCGCGGCGTGATAAATCGACTGCCATCCTCGGGTTCGCCCGGCTCGGTATTTGCAGTGGCCTAGCGAGCTCTGTGGGCTAAGTAAGAAGTAAATGGCCAGCAATATCCCGTCTAATGTCTCACTCGCCATTACTTGGCGTATAGTTGAGTATCGTGACCCAGAAATTATAAACCTTGAATGTGTTTAATAGGCAAGAAACAAGCATCCAGGGCCTCAAACCTAGAGTGTATCACTGCACCATAACACCATGTTTGAAAATATTAGATTATCCAGCCGTCATAATTCATGTTCGTCTGGCTCCCATCCAGACATTTTCCCCCTATTTTACAAACCTAAGCAATTAATTATCATTAACATATCACACGCAACGCCGCCCCGCCCAACCCCTTTCCACGCCTATGCCCCCACGGCCCCATTCGCCCCCGGCGCAGGAATAACAACCTAGCCATCCCTCATCAACGGCGCAAACCAACCGATCATCATCTCAGAGCGGCCGGTGTCGGCAAACTTCTCATGGTCAGGCCCAATGGTCTGCTTGAAATAGGGGTCGGCCTTCATGTTGACGAAGCACTCGATGCCGGGGATCACAATCTGCACGCAGCAGTCGTAGGGTGCCGTGTTGGCAAACTGCAGGTCGTAGAGCTACGCCATGAGCTCGGGGGATTCGGGCGTTGTGTGTGTCTGGGCGGGTGTTAAGGTTTTCTGTGAAGCGTAGAAGGGGTGTTTTGTTTGTGTTGTGTGCTTCTCGTGGTTTGCTTACCATGCTCCATTGCAGAAAGCCGTACTTCTGCATGAGGCCGGCAACGAGCGGAGCGTGCACGTTGGCCATGTAGTTGCGGTACTCTGCGAGATCGATCCCCTCTTTTTTGTAGCCCAGGATGTTGAGGCAGAGCAGCTTCTGGTTGTTGTGGTTGTTGTCGGACGCCATCTCGGATGTTTGTTGCTTCGCACGGCTTGAACTGGGAGAGGCTTTGGAGAATAGGCCAAGAAGCCGTGCAAGGAGGCCAGAAGAAGGCATTGCGAGGGTCGATGGGGTTTGTCTCGGGGGAAAGCTGAAGAGTAGAGAGCGAGATAGTAGTTTCAGAATTAGGCAAGAGGATTCTCTAGACATGGACAGGACAAACCATATAGCCAATCAAGAGGGAATTGAATTCGGACTCGACTTCCGGGGCTCAGTTGAGGTTGTCGATGTTGGCCAACAAGCGCGTACCACGTCCGAAAGCTATGTCAACTACTGACAAATTCGGCCCGGCGTGTCGATGCAGTCGCATCATGCCCAATTACCACGCATTCCTTAGAGACATCGTCATCTTAGATGTACTGGCCTGTAGCCTCGTTGTATTGGCGGGTTCCTGGCGGTGCTAGCCCCCGTTCATGATCTCCGACGAACTATCTCGCACCGTCGATTCTGTCTCCGAGCCAGCCAGGGCAGTGATCGGGCTGGCTTCACCACGGCTGGCTGGTGGGCTATGTACATACATTTGTGGATGTGACTAACAGGCGTGAGCCCACGTTATAATTTCCGTCTGCCCCGGACTCGGTTTCTCACTTGAATAAGACTGCATGTAGCCGTGCCGCCCATCTTGTATTGCCTGGTTGATCAAGCGGCGTCTTGAGGCGCTATGGACCTTTTAAAGATTTGGTAACACGAATCTTTTATCTATTACTCTCTTTGGCACAACTCTTGGCCAATACGCTCTTCTTGCTCTTTTGGCCTAAGGCCCTGGCCATAACACCACCATCACCACCATCGCCACCAACACTACCATCCCGCCCCTGTGTTCCTCCACCAAAAGCGGCGACGTCGGCATTCAACATGACGGGGCCATCCCAATTCCTGGTCTTTGGTGACCAGGCCGTCCCCTATGCCTCCTAGTTGCGGCGGTTCGTGGCCAAACGTGAAGACTACGCGCTGGCAAACCTCCTTTCCTAGACGTATCATGCTCTCCGAGCCGAGATCGCGCGTCTTCCTTCCAGCCAAAGAGCGCAATTCCCAGCTCCCTTTACCCTGGTGGAACTTCTAAACGCCCACGGCTCTTCCACAAAACCAAACTGCGCCTTGGATAGTGCCCTGGCGTGTTTACACCAAATAGCGTCCTTTGTTTCGTAAGTGACCATGTAGCTAGCTCCCTGGAGCCAACTCACCCCGACAATTGGGCGGGCTTGGATCGCGCCCACTTCTTGTCCCGGACGGGTAATTGCAAGACCTTTGACGATGGCGCCGACGGTTACTGCAGAGCCGAGAGTGTGGCGACGGTACTCCTCAAGAGGCTTGACGACGCCATCCTCGACGGCAATCCGATCCAGGGCTAATCCTAGGGGCTCTCACAAACCACTCAGCTGAAGCCGTGTCCATCACCCGGCCACACTCGGGTGCCCAGCGCGCCATCTTCGGTCGCATCCTCGACTCGGCTGATATCGATAGTTCCGATGTGAGCTATGTCGAGATGCACGGGACCGGCACTCAGCACGGAGATGCCTGCGAGATGGATTCTGTCCTGGACGTGTTCGCCCCTGACGGCTCCCGGCGGGAGAAGTCCCTCTATCTCGGTTCAGCCAAGGCCAACATCGGCCACGCTGAATCGGCGTCCGGCATCACGTCCCTGATCAAGGTCCTGCTGATGATGGAGAAGAGCCAGGTCCCCCGGCACGTCGGCATCAAGACCAAGATCAACAAAAACTTCTCCACTGATCTTGACCAGAGGAACGTCCACATCGCATGCAGACTACCCCGTGGCCAAAACCGAGCAACACAACATACGGAAGGCGGGCGTTCGTCAACAACTTTGGCGCAGCGGGTGGCAACTCGTCAGTGCTTCTCGAAG